CCCCCCTTCTGTCTGTGAAAACTTGGCTTTAATTACTACTGATAATGTGGCAGATAGACCTGCAGCCAAACCCACCATTCCATGGAAGTGGCTCACAGCTAAATGTTGCATTTCCTAAGCAGTAGGAACAGATTTAATCCTGTCCAGAGCTAAGCACAAACAAACAAAATTACATTTCATCTAGGGGCGAATACTAATGTATTTTCCAGCTATGGATTATGATCTGATGGTTGTAATTATGAGACAATTAACTCAGCACTTTAAATAACCTTGACTTGACCTGCACTTCTCAAAATCTGTATTATCAGCCCCTTCCCTTCTTTAAAAAGAGCTGTTTTAGTGGATTTTTACGAGCCATTTGAGGCCTTATTTGCCTTCAGCTCTACCCTCTGTGCCACGCAGTGATCCCTGGGGAATCTTGATCCTAGTTCCATTTGCTCCCCAACCTGTTGGATGTGAGTCCTGCCATAAGTATTCCAAGGAAAGGGCATTGCAGGCCTGAGCAGTTGGATGTCAAGCAGAGCAGTAGAGGTTGAGGAGCTGTTCCAGACGTATTAATAGCAGAACGTTTACAGCTCCTTTAACTGCTCTCACAGCTGAGGAGCTGTTCGAGATGTATTAATAGCAGAACATTTACAGCTCCTTTAACTGCTCTCACAGCTTCTGTCATGGGACTTTGGGGCTGCACTGCCTTGACAGGTGAGAAATAAAATCCTACTGAGCTGAGAACAGGAGGGGGGAAAAGGAACAGTGTGAGGAAGAGCCTGTCAAGTTGAGAAGGACAGTGTGGGGTGTCCAGGCTAGAAGGAGGAATTAGAAGGATGTTCTCCTTGGGGGTTAGTTTGAGTGGCTTTGTCTGACCTCATCCTGCTCTGCCAGGGGCCACTGGGCTTGGAGAGGGATGTGTAGGACAGATGTTCTGGTGGAAGGTGTCCCTGTCCATGGCAGGGGTTGGAACAAGATTGTCTTTGAGGTTCCTTCCATCCCAAACCATCCTGTGATTCTCTTCCATCGTTATCCCTAGACTTTTCTCTTGTCTTGACTTGGAGTTCTCTTCCTCCTCACTTTGTCTCAGCTAAGAGATCTGAAAGGATTAATGAAACTTTTCCCTAAGACATTTAAAAGAAGCAAATCCCCCAAAGCAGCTTGGGCTCAAGCCCTTAAGGGGACTGAGCTCTGTTGATCGTGAGCTTTGTGTCAGGATCTGCTCAGAGCTGCCTAAATCCCTCAGCTGAGGCTGCTCAGGAATATCTGCTGATTACTGCTGGTTTGAGGCACCTGCTTAAAGCTTCCTCAGTGGGGAACATCCCTGGGGGGCTCAGCTCTGCTGAAAAGCCACAATCTTTGAAGCTGAGCACCTAAACCATGCCAAGGTAGTGCATCCCCCAGGCTGGTCGTGTGGCACTGAGCCTGCCCTGGGGCACATGTGTCTCAGCCTCTTCTGCCCTGGAACAGCTCAGGGATTGCTCTGAGGCTTTGGGTAGGTTGCACTTAATGAAAATACTATCTTTGATCTCCCCTGGGTTATTTTCTGTGAGCCTTTAGATAAGTCGTTGGGGGTATTTGCTGCAGTTTGAGTCCATGCAAGGAGTGAAAATGTGCTTGTCTGTGTCTTGCACTTCTGTCTGTGTCATCTGGTTAGATCTCACCGAGCTTGTCTGGGATGTGTAGCTAATATTAGGCATAATAAAGCACCAAGCTGCTGTTGGCAGAGAAGGTGGTGCTGTAGGAAGTGACTAATAACCCAATTTATAGTTGTGTGTTTGCAGGAATTGACTGAGCTCCAGAGTGTGGTTTGCTGGCTGTGACACAGGTGTTCAGCACAGAAGGTTTTGTGTCACTCCAGTGTAGCTGAGGCAAATTGGAGAGAGGCAGAAGGGAGAAACCTCATGCAGCAGAGCTCTCTAGAGCAGAGAGGTTCAGAGCTGTGGAAAACAAGGTGATGTTTGCCATAGGAAGTTTGGGTTGTGCTCTTGGGGTGGAAGGCAGCAGCTTCAGCCTGGCTGCAGAGCAGGGAAGCAGCTGCCACAACCTTTCCCTGCAGAGTAACATTTGAGGCTCCATGGCTCTTTGTTCCACCAGGAAAACCCTTTGGAAAGTTCTGCTCCTGATAGATGAATTGGTTGCATAAGATAAAACCACCCAGTACCTTGTCTGTGAGACTCTACCACTGCCTGGTGTGTTCCCAAGGGGCAGTGGAGGCTTCTCATTTTCAGGTGGGGAATGGACTGTGAGATGCAGAGAACTTCTTTAGTCAGGAGGTTTTTCAGAGCCTTTATAGCTTCTGCAACTGGATGTGGCAGATTATGAGACTCCGAATGGGCAGGAGGAACTGGGGGTTGGGTTGGGAATGAGGCTGCTGGTGCTGCTGGAGTGTTGTGTTGACTGGGGGGTGGGGTTG